GGGAGGGAGGGAGGGAGGGAGGAAGGGAGGGAGAGAAGTGTTGAAAGACCGAATATACAAGAGTCATGCGGCGATCGCCTTTGAGCGCGAAGGGACGGTTCATCTTCACTTAAAGGCCGCATCATCGCCGCATCAATCGTACGTTGCAACATAAACAACGCCACCGAAGAGGCCACTGCTGGTCTTGCCTACACAACTCACCTACAAGAATCCACCATTCAACCTCGCGTCGCGCAGAGCAAACATACATGCAGGCGTTATTACATCATCAAAAGCAAATGATCCCTCCGCTCGGCCTCCATCACCTCACCTTCGCCACAGGGTCGATCGTCTTTTGCAGCAGGCACGGGGCCTCCCCCAGCAAGCGGCTCAGCGGCACCGACGGAAACGCCTCCCTCAGTGCCGAAACCCTTGCCTCCAGCGTCCCCGCCGCGGCCGAGAGGCACCTCGGCGCGCCCCCGACCACCCGGCAGACGGTCTCGGCGGAGAGACCCGCGCCGCGCAGGACCTCGAGCTTTCGCGCCAGGGTGGCCGGGTCGAACCGCAGCGCGTTGGGGTTGTACCGGAGCGTCTGCGCCATCATCACCGCCGCCGCTGCTTCGTCGTCGTCGTCGTCGTCACCGCTGCCGCTGTCTCCTCCTACGGCGGCGGCGGCGCCCCCGGCGAGCTCTGCGAACGCGTGCGAAAGGTCCGCCAGCTTCCGCGGGACGGTGGAGGCCATGTCGAGGGACATCACCCGCGGCTCCTTCGCGACGATCGTTCTGAGCACGGGGGCAGGCAGGACGGATGGGTGGTATTTGCGCGGGTTGGCGCGTGGGGGGTAGGGGCTGGCGTAGAATTGCTGGAAGTACAAGGTACCAAGATATCTCTTAGCGTACGTATCGAGGGATTCATCTTAATCCGTAGGATCAGTGTTGGACGAAAGAACAAAAAAAGAAGAAACACTCAAAAACCGACGACGACAAAAATCAAACAACAAACAACACCGACAAAAACCAGGAAAACAGAGCCACCCAGTCCTCTCCACCCACTTCCTCCTAGGCGTTCTCCTTCCCCCTCCCCCTCTCCCGGCCTCCGCAGGCCCCCTGAAAAACGACACGGCGACACAACCCACCTCGCTACCAACCCGGAGGGCAGTGCCTCCTGCAGCTTCTCCACCTTTCGCATGGACGTGTTGGAGCTGAGCGTCAGCAAGGACGGGCACCGAGCCACAGCGGCCACCAGGTCGTCGCTGGCATCTGTGCCCTTGGCCTGTTGCTTGAGTGGGGTAGGTCGAGATTGGGAATGGACGGGGGAGAGAGAAAGTCAGACCGCCAAAAAACAATGTGCAATCGTGCATCACCTTCCCGGAGCATCAGATGTGCGAATTCCTGAACAATTGCGTACTATCACATTTCCCGAGGTACTTTAGGAGAAGTATAAGAGAAGAGGCGCGTACAATGGAGTGTAAAAATACCAAGGGTGTGTTCGGTACGGTACCGGTATTTTCGGTAAGGTATTTTAATCGTACCGAACGTACCGAACACTTCGGTAAGGTATTCAAGTACATACCGAACGTACCGAGCATCTCCGGTATGGTATGGCAGTCCTTACCGGTACCGTACCGGCGATATCGGTATTTGTCCGGTATTCTCCCGAGCGTCGCCCCATTATTACAATATTGCACGCAATACGCCCCAGTACTTACATGCAGTATCAATATTGATATCGCCCATCAAGAATGTGTGTGTGCGCACAACAGTAAGAACAAAAAAAGATGGTACGGAGTCAATCCGAATCCGAGACTCTCCCTATTGAAAATGGAAGGCAGGCAGGAGAGAAAAGCAAGTTAAAAATAACACGGGTCTTCTTCTTGAATACGGAGTACAATTTTAGTTTTAACTTCAATTTTAGTTTTTGTTTTCTTAATATCACACAACAAATCCATCTCTATCTTGAGAAATAATTTTAGTTTTATGATTTGATTTTGAACTTATACTTTCTCTTATTACGCGCGCGAATCCAACAAAACAAAACAACAAACCTATTCTAATTTTAATTTGCACCTAACACAAACGACGAAGGACTTGAACTTTCAAGGGTCTGTATGACAGTAAAAATTCAAGAGCGACTTGCCCTGTTACAAAATCGAAACAACAACGGCGAGCGAAATCTTAGATTTCAAACTGAGTCCAACTGAAGTACAAGTACCGAACAGACACTAGGAAACGTGTGCCCCCACGCGACAAGTAATCAGAAAAGGGTCAGATATAACGTCATTGTATCAGAGAGGAGATGTTTCCCGATTAATTAGCCCGATACCGGTACGCTCGGTACCGGTATATTCGTTAAGGTATCTACATCGTGCCGAACGTACCGAACACGTCGGTAAGGTATTGAAGTCCGTACCGAACGCACCGGTATTTTCGGTAAGGTATTCAAGTCCATACCGAACGTACCGAGCATCCCCGGTATGGTATGGCAGTCCATACCGGTACCGTACCGAACATCTCGGTATTTATACCGAACGTACCGAAAACTTCGGTAAGGTATTCCAGTCCATACCGAACGTACCGGTATATCCGGTAAGGTATTGAAGTCCGTACCGAACGTGCCGAACACTTCGGTAAGGTATTCAAGTCCATACCGAACGTACCGAACATTTCGGTACCGGTATACCGGAGGTATAATACCGCTGGTACGCCTCGGTATGGACCTTGCCAAACACACCCTTTAAAAAATACCGCCACATAGCGGCAAGCTCGTTTCAAAAATGTCTTGTTCCCCAACGCCCACCCCACCCCACCACTCGCACAAACACGTTCTGGTCAACAAACAGCACCAGCTTAAACGAATCAGCAAACACGGAGTAGAAAGAAGGTCCTTAATCGCAGTGCCCCTCCCACCATGGTAGACGTTTCCTGCTGCCCCCTCCGCTGTTGCGGGGCCAGCGACTGGTCCATCATCAGCTCCCTCAGCCTGGAGACCTTCAGGGAGACGTTTCGGCGGACGTCGAAGCCCAAGAGGTGCGGCCGAGAGCCCACGAGGGCGAGGCCGTCCATCCCGGGGAGCAGCGCCTCCAGCCCTTCGATCTTCGCCCGCACCTTTTTGTCGTGTTCGTGTGAGTTGAGAGTTGGTTTGAGGTATGACTTACGGTGTGGCGCCGAGGGGGGAGGAGGGGGGGCGGGGGGGGGTGGGGAAGGGGAGCCTGCACCCTTGTAGGCTACACCGACAACGGCACGATTGGATACTTTATAGACAGAATCGCCGCCACCGCCACCGCCGCTGCCGCTGCTACTGTAGTTGCCGGCATATGAGGGAGTAGTACTAGAACGTAGCCCGCAACCACTTGTATCCCTATCTGGACATGTCCACACCGCATACGGAGTATATCCCTATTTGGACATGTCCACACCATCCAGGTCACGGGGCCGGGCACAGAGCCGCTTCTGTTCAAGCCCGCGCTAGGTGTATGTGTGCAGCCAAGTTCGTGTGTGTCCATCGAGCACAACCCCGGCCAAAGAAACATGTGTCTCGGTGGGCACTGTAGATCTAAAGATGATCTACCGCCCTTCCGTAGCGAGTGCAACACGCAAGAGGCCGAGTAATTTCATCCAGCGTGCCCAGTAGTCACTACTACTACGCACTTATTGTCGTTGTCTCAGCCAGCTCTCTCTCTCCCTCTCGCTCTCTGCGTCTATCTATCTCTCACCGTGTGCGGTTCCATCGTCAGGATCTGCGGGAAACCGTTCGCGAACCTCGCCAATCTCCTTACACCCGCCGGCCGTCCCCCTCCTCCTACCCTTCCTCCTCCTCTACTGCCGATGTCGTCGTCGCGATCGCCGCCACCTCTCCGGCCGCTTCCACTATCACTTTCTATACTGACATCACTGCTGTTGTTGGGTTCCAGGGTGATCCTCATCTGTGTTATTTTCCCCAGGCGGCAGAAAAAAGCAAACAGGAACAAACATGGCTATATAACCTTTCTTGCGGACTATAACCCAAGCGCAGTCGACGACTACCCCCTTCCCCTTGGGCGGTCCATCCGCGGCAAGCCGCGGGAGAAGGGGGGGGTGGCAGACTGGCTATCGGGCAACCCTACCCCCCGCCGGCTTCTAGTAAGAGACCAGAAAATCAGTACACGCAGCAGCAGCAGCATTGCAAAGTACCACACAACACTGGCGGAATCTCGACGACTTGCTACATGCAAAAAAGTATGGCTTCTGACAATGAACCAGAAGATCAGCATACACTTGCAACAGCAGTAGCATTGCACAGACTGTGCCAAGGTTGGAGGTGTTTTGTTGCTCACCCTCTCCACCTCGGGCGATGGCGTGAGGCAAAGCACAGCTCGAAGCTGCGCCAGGCGCTTCTCCACCACGTCCAAAGGCTGGACCAGCAGCTGCGGGGCAGACCGCAGGACACGGTCCATCCTGCACGTGTAGCGCGACAGGACCGATTCTTGTTGAGGGAAAAGGTGAAGCCGCCATACAAGCTACGACGAGAGTTGCCTCCTTACCTCAGGCATGAAGAAACAATACACTTTCCGCGTCCCGGGAAATAGTGAGCCTGCAACTACGCCACGAAAAAGCTTCTTCCAAAGGGAGGTTGCGGCAAGAGGACCACGAGGTACACAGACACAAGGCCTGTCTCTCGCGCTCTCTCTATAGAGCGCCTGTGTCCTCCTGCATCTCTCTCGCCTACGTGCCTCTCTCGGTGGCCTAGGAGAAAAAACAAGCTTTGACATATACACAAACACCACAAGCGGAAATACTACATGGAATGTGGATACTGCACACACTGGATGAAAGATACCGCACCTCAAGCCTGGCACCAGCCTTTCAATGTTGGCGAGCGCCTCCGACACTTTTTCGGTTCTGTGGCGGAGAAGGAGCGGCGTCTGGTTCACTATTGCCTGCAAATACAAGACAAGAAAACAGCAGCAGCAGCAGCAGCAGCAGCAGCAGCAGCAGCAGCGTTAGTTGGTGTTTGCACCCTCCCGCGCTCGCAATGGCAACTCCAATATATTCTCTGAGGGGGGGGGAATGAGGCACAGAGTTATTGGCCCGGTCACACCAAGCAATAGGCTCCGCGAACCCCGTTCCTTACCCCCCCGATAAACAGACCCGCCCCCACCTGCAAGTCAGCGTCGGGCGGAAAGAGGTCCGCGAGGCCCTCCAGCCGCGACTGCAGCGCCGACGACTCGATCGCCAGGAGGGGCGCCGCCCTCCTCAGCCGAGCGCTCCAGGAGCCCCGGAGGCTCGGCAGCATTTCGAGAAGGAACCGCAGGCGGCCGCTGAGCTCGGGCTCCGCCCGCAGGAGGAGGAGCCTCGGCTCGCTGGAGACGAGCTGGTAGGCGTGCAGCCGCGCGCCTTCTCCTCCTTGTTCTCTGTCTGCCGCCGCCGCCGCCGCTGATTCCTCCGCCGCTACCGCCCTTTCCCCCACCCCCGCCGCCCCCGGTTCCGCTGCCGCAGCCGCTGCGGCAGAAGAGCTCGACGGCGGTCGCGACTCGCCTTCCTGTACGCCACCTCCAGCCCCCCGGCTTTTGTAGTTGCCGCCGTCGATACCGCCACTTCCACAATGTGGCAACAGCACTGCTGTTGCTCTTGCTGCTGCCTGTGCCCCTTGGCGGCTACGGTCATCGTCCTGCTGCTCCTGACTGCTGCCACCCCTACTACTTCTACTGCTCCTGCTGCTGCCACTACCACCCCGAACGTGTCTCATCTCGGTGCCCTTGGTCGGCGATGATGACGAGGACGGTGATCCCCCACCGTGAGTCACCCCAGAGGAGACTAAACTATCAGTTTCTGCTGCTCCTGCTCCTGCTGCTGCTGGCTCGCCTGCTGAAGCGTGCCATGACCCTGCAGTCTCCAGCAGGTCTGCGATGGCCTGCCGCAAGGTGCGGTTGGTGCAACGGCATTCGTTCGTGTTCGTGCTCTCAATCTGAGCAAGAGAAACAGAAACACTGCCAAGCATATGTACCCAGCAAACATACTCCCCGGCGCGCCCTCAATCTCTCCTGAACTTGCCAACGCCAAAATGGCCATTCATGAACACACCTGCCTGCCAGACAACAGCAGTGTAACAGGTTCATCCATGTATTTACAGCGGTAACCATCGCCCGCTCGTCTACCATCACCGATTGTCACCTTCTCAATAGCTGCACCTTCGCCCTTACTAACTGCAGCCAGACATATTGCACACCCACGCCAAATATTGCGGCCGCCTTTACTTGCCCCTACCCTTACCTGCATTCTGGCGGCGAGGACGCCAATGTCCGTCACGAGCTCGGGGTCTCTGCGCATCACCGGCAGCACTTTGCGGACCTCCCACTGGGACAGCCCCCTCTCCATGAGAAACATGCGCACATCGTTGTCGTGCTTCCTATCCTGCCTCTTGGCGTTTTTGTTTTCCTCCTCCTCCTCCTCCTCCCCCTCGTCCTCGAGGTCGACATTGCTCCAACACGTGGTAGCCGCAGCCGTAGCCGTGGAAGTCGTGGTGCCTCTCCCTCTTGGTGATGGTGTGGTCCATGGTCGAGCTGCTCTCGCGTTGTCGGCGTTGCCGCCCGTGCTTCTCGGCGGTGGTTCAAGTACGTCTGTTGCTGCCGCTGCTGCTGCTGTTGCTGGCCCCGGCGCAGTGCCGGCGGCATGATCTATAACCCTGACCCTGCTGCTGCTGCTCGACCCCCTGCTGTCTTCTTGGTTGTTGGACGGCGGTGGTATGATTGCGGACACAGCGGTCGTAGACGCAGGAGCGGCAGCACCCCCGCCGGTGGTACCTCCGGTGCTTGGGGTAGTACTCAGAACGGCCTCTCTCCTGCGATTGCGCTGCTTGTTTCGTCGTCTCACCTCGCTGTGGGCCGCTGCTCTGGCAGCAGCAGCAGCAGCATCCCTGGCATCGCTCCTTTCCCCTCTGCTTTTGCTCCTGCTGCTGGCGCCCGCTGTGGTGCTGCCCGTGCATGCTGGTGCAGACGAGGCAGCAGCAGCAGATAGGCCTCGATTGTTGTGGTAGTGAAACGAGAGGGCACCTGCGCCCTGTACGGAGAGAGTCGCGAGCGCGAAGGCTGCGGCTGCGGTCGCTACAGCTGAGCCCGTCACTCCGCTGGGTTGGCGGCTCCACGGCCTCGCTCGCTTGCTCCCCATAACGACAACAACCTGTCCCGCTCTCTCGAGAGTAAAGCAAACAACGTTTTGCGTGCGTTGTGGGCGACACACGGCTGTAATTCATGTCACCGGTGCCCATCCCCGATACATGACACAATGAACATACGGAGCCCCTGTACAACAGCTCCAGCTCAAGGGCTCTTGAGCTTTTGAGGACTGCACTGCAGTTGCTGTGTTGCACATTGCATGGTCAGCGCACTCAGGACCATGATGCAGTGGCCAGAGCTGTGCGTCATCGTCGTGTTGACGCTCTCGTTGAGCTCAGCTGCGGGGTTCCTGACGTCCAACCCGTTCCTCTCTCGGCCCCAGCAGCCGACACATTCGTCGGCAGCGGCAGCGGCAGCAGCAGCTCACTGCCGTCGCCCAGCCCCTCGATTGCTGCTCTCTCGGCCACCGAGCGCCATCCTACTTCGACCACGACGGTCTCGCATCCACAGCCTATCTGCAGATTCAGCAGCGGGATCACCAACTAGAGCAGCAGGGTTCTCATCATTACAATCCCTGGAGGGGAGTGTTGGTCAGCGACGGAGGCTGGCGGGTTCAAACACGGCGTTGGCGCTAGCAGCCAGCAGAGGCAGCAACGGGGTGGGTGAAGAAGGGGGAAGCGGGGGGGCGGACAGCGACAAGGGTGGTGGGTGGCGGCAGCGCATGGTCCAGACCATCGTGTTCGTGGTCCTGAGAATACGGGCAGTGGCGGCTGGGCTGGGGGCTATGCTTGGGCTGGGTCGACCGACCAAGGTGGGGCTGGCTGGGCGCGGCGCATACTTTGGACACTCAGCAGAAAATGTGCCTGTGTGTCTGTCTGCGAGGAGAAGGAGTCGATTGGTGGCGCCAAGCCCCAGCAACGATTCGTGCCTACATAGTCGTGTCAGATGAAGCGATCACTGTTCCTGGCGCGATTGTTGATGCTACAGTTTGCATATCACGAGTTGACATTGGCTGGGACCGCCACTGGTTGCATATCTAAGATACCACCCCCCCTTGGAAATATTTTCGAAGATGCTCATTTGCTCGGCAGCAACGCCAGCAGCCGAAAAGGCTGCCTTAGGACAGTCTCCTCCAGGCTTTTCTAAAAGCATCGTTTGGTTGTGGCATCCTGTTTGTCGTGGAGAAGTTGAGCCCTGAATATTGTGGATCGATGTGGAATCTTAAGCATGTACCACCACCTACGTCGGTAGTCGACTCCCTCGCCTCCTATCCCGTGATGTTGCTGGAAAACGTGTCCGTTGCCAAAGAGAGGTGACTCGCTTGTGCCCGGCGCGGTGTACTGCTGTTGCACGCGAGCTCTGTAGGGTGCTGAGTTATTTAACATCATCGTTTGGTACGTTGTAGAGTGGTGCTTTGAGCAACGTAAGGTCTTCGATGATCTCGTCAGTCGCCTCCCCTTCCTTGCCCGCACAGGACTACCTACTCATGTCTGGTAACATGTGTACATACATTTGGAAAAGCTGTCATGGTCTACGCGCCCACCGGCTTGACACTGACAGCGCGGGACGCCGAGAAGAGACGGCAGCCCCATGAGTTTGTCTTTGAATGAACGCCCTTTGATGAGAACCATTCCGCTCATCCCCCGACGCCGTTGCTCCTGCCGTCTCACGCCCGGCCCCGCCGACCGCACGCTAGAAGAGTTCTTCCTCGAACCAATCGCTGTTCAGCTCCGCCAGCGGTAAGAAGAAGGCGGCGGCTGGGAAGTCGCGGGGTCGGCGCGCGACAGCGTTCTCGCGACTGTTCAGGAAGAGGACCGCCACGCTGCTGCTGGTGATGCTCTTCGTGCTGGCGATGGGATTCCGTTCTGCGGGCACACCTGCCGTCACCGAGGTGGGTACTACTGCCGTGTTTCGTTCACCTTTACAAGGGCAGCAGTCGTGCTCGACGTGGGGTGTGTACACGGGGTGCTTGTGTTGTTTGTCGGAATTTTAGTGGGTTCTTGGTGACGTCCTACCAGTTCAGGCAGCACTGAAAAGAGTCGAGTTTTACACGTAAGGGGTGTAGGAGGTTGTAAGTCATTTCAATAACCAAAGGCGCGAGTTTTCTTCCTCCAACCAAAAGAACGCAAGGGGCTCAAACACGACTGCTGCTAGCGGTTCCTTGGGGGAGGGAGTCCTTCTTACGCACAACGCAGGCATGAACGCTACGCGATGCACCACGTTTTTGGTGGAGTGTTCTCCCCACAGCAGTCTAGCAAACTGGCGTTTCCGGACATTAACTTGCGTACTATCGCTTACGGCCGAGCGCTCGTGCTGATGAAGGCATCCCGATCCTCGATCTGCTCGCGATAACAACGTATTGCACGCAAAGTGTTCTGCTTACATGTTACAGGCTGCTATTACGCGTAATGCCTGCACCCTGTATGCCCATCCTTCATGGCACCTCTCTTGCCTCCTCTCGACTCCCTGAACCGGCGTGCGGCCCGAATCCGTCAGCACGGCAGTCAAGAAACTTAAGAATGAAAATGCTGATGAAATTTTCTCTGTTGCTGGCGGAAGAGGGTTTTCCCACACATTGTTGACAGATTTTCTGAGGGTGTTTTCCGTCTGAACGAACGATTCTTGTTGATTGGCGCCACAGGTGCCCATGTCCACCTTCATGCAGCTGATGGAGGGGAAACGCGGCGCCGACGTCGTGGAAAGCGTCCGCGTGTCGAAGACCGGGACGATGTTCTTCAAGATGAACGGCAAGGAGGTAATCGCTGCTCGCTTCGGGCTGGTGGCACCGTCGATACACGCGCGAACAACACTTGTTGGTGTCTGGCGTGTTCTTGGTAGACGCTATGGTCTTCCGTGTTGCTAGCGAGCGCACCTGGATAAGGTGTGTACATTGTATGTCAGTGGGAGGAGAGAGAAATGGATGAGAGGGAAGGAAGATGAGAGAGAGAGAAAACGGGTGTGACCTGTTGTGTTTCATCAGCCTGTGACCACGGGTCGCAGCGCGATACTCTTTATACATCGGTGCGAGCATTGCGGAAGAGTTGAGGGCCGCATCGAAACGTCAAGGGCAGATTTTGCCGTGTGAAACCGGGCAACCACATATGAGCAGCAATACACAGCAAGCAAGGCTCGAATGCTCAATGGTGCACATCTGCCCCACCCTCCACCCATAACGATCATCCCCACAGTGCTACACGTTGCCGTTGAGGGTAAGCAAGGAGGTCTTCAAGGCGCTCTGCAACAGCGGCATTCCTTTCAGGGCTTCCAAGTCGCCACCGGGACTTTCTTTCATCTTCCCGGTTGTCTACCTGCTGGCCGTCTACTATTTCATCGTCAAGAGGGGGTGAGTTTGGGTGTTACTCCTTAACGTCCCAGTGGGGTTGTTGGTGGACGTATGCGTTGTCATGGAGGGTGGATTTTGTGTTTGATTCCTTCATGTGAGGTGTACTGGAGGTAGGCTCACCGCGCTCGTAATTTTTCCGTTATTTTCAGTGCTTTTGCTGTTGAGAAGCACGTAGTGTAGCAGTGCCCGTGGTCCGAGAAAAGAGTGATCTCATCAGACAATCCGGTCTCGATAGAGTGTAAACGTCGGCACCGCAATGGCGCGCGTTCTCAATTTCTCCTGCAATAAATAGACCGTCCGATCGTCTAGGTCGCAACTAGCTAGTCGTTCTGGCACCAGCAGGGTCGTTGGTTGACACCTTGACCAACTATTGTGGGCGTTTTTCCCTCGTTGCGATCTTCTTGAGACGTCCGGCGCAATGCCCAACAGATCGCTGACCGCCGTGTCGATTAGTTGACCCTTCCGAGCACTGTTGCCACACGGCTCTTCTTGTCCTGCCGTGAGATACGACGTTTCTATCGAACCGAATCTGAGCGTGCCCTACCCCGCTGACACGCTTATCATGCTCCTGGCTATGCCGTGATCGGCGCGCTGCTTGCACCCTGTTGCGCGCTGCTGCGTCTCCTGGCGCATGGCCCGGACGCCAGGCAAGGGAGCATGGTCGGGTCCACGGGCAAGCTTGCGTCGTCGACGGAGCTCGACACCTCTCTCACATTTGGGGACGTGGCGGGGGTCGACCAGGCCAAGAGTCAAGTGCAGGTGAAACGGCGTCTACCCGTCTCCTTCTTGTGCGAAATGCATCACCGCACACGGGGCAATCACACTGTGTAGTGTGTAGGATATAACACCGCTTTTCAAGTTGGCGCCATCAGGTGGCAGTGTTTTCAAAGGCCCAGATTCGCGTCGTATCACGCAGTCAATCTCGAGAACAACCGCTGGCAAGCCGCACAGCCACCCGCGGGAGGGAGCATGAACACAACCGCCGGTTCTGAAGAGGCTGCATTGTATCTACTATTTATTGTGCGGTGCCTGCTACGACAAGGAGCTCGTTGCTTTCTACAAATGCCCTCACACACGCCGACGTTCATACACACAGCCGTACACAACAACCCGGCCCCCACCGAATTTCTCCGCCTGTTGTCGGATGGATGTATCCCGGTGGCAAACCCCTTCTGCGCCCGAAGGAGCTAGTGTCGATGATCAAGAACCCGGCACCTTTCATCGCTGCGGGTGCTCGGTTACCGAGCGGTCTGCTGATGGTGGGACCGCCCGGGACGGGGAAAACGCTCATGGCTAGAGTCATGGCAGCGGAAGCTGGGGTTCCGGTGAGTAATTTTTTATGTTTGAGATGTTGTGTTTTCAATGGGGGGGGCGGGGGGGGGGGGGGG